CCCCCAAACTGACCCCAAACCGCCTCCCCCCTTTAACATCTTATCGGCGTTGTCATTTACAGCAGCTGGCCTTGTAGTTTATGCGATTTTATTTTCATTTCACTTTGCGTTGCGGTTTGCTGGAAATTTAATTTGTTGCTGCCTTTGGCTCTCTCTCTCTCTCTGTGTTGCGGTTTTTCTCACAGTTTTCTTCCCTCCCCAGCTCAGCTTAAATTAGATGCACTGCCCGAAAATTGCAATATATATCTAGAATATATATCTCAGAGATATTTAGCCGTGTTCTTAGCTGGCCATAAGCCGATTATGGCAGCAGTTATTACGGCAACAAGGAGCAAGTCTTCTTGGTTACTCGAAAGGTAACTAACTAACTAACTAAACAGGTTGCACTTAAGTAGCACAGGGTTAATTACTTGGCAGCAATTACGATGGAGAGGAGAGAAGTACTGCGGGGAGAGATAAATGGATCCTAATTGCATTGTTACTTACAGAGAATTTGAGATAATTGTAAAAGAAATAACAGAAATATAAGAAATTTCAATGAGTTGTTATTAGTTATTAGTTCTCTTTTACCTCTAATCAAAGTCCTTGAAAATGTCAATGTTTTCCTTCTTACATTTATTCTTACTTACAAAACATTCCTTGAATATTATTCCTTCACCAGCAGCTAACATTCTCATTCAATTCGTTTTGATAATTGACTTTCGTCCTGGGTATTTTTCAATTTTGACACAGACAAACGTCACAGACCGCAATGTGTCCTGTCAAATGCACAACAAAAAAATAGAGAACGCTGGCCCATTTTCGAGAGGTTTCACTGTACCGAGGCGAGCTGCCAATTAGTGAATGGAATTGTTCATTTTTCTGCGGTTTCCCCTACTCTCTCTGTGTGTGTTGTCCTGCCTAGGACTAGCCTTAGCCTGGCTAGCGAATTATGCAAAGCACTCGGAAATTGTCCTGCTCGCATTTTGTGTTTCCATTTTCCCTTTCTTGATGTTGTTGTTGTTACTGTTGGTGTATTTTGGGTAAATGGTGGATGTAAATGGTAGATGAAAAATGGTAAATGGTAAATGGTAAACATGGCCCAGAGGAGTGGAGTGGTCGAGTGGGTGGACCCAATCATCCGGAAATGCGAACGTCACGCACAACCGCAACAAAGAAAGTCAATTAGCAATGGACGAGAATTGAGGCGAAAATTCCGAGCCAAAGAATGTGTGTGTGTGTGTGTGTTTGTGTTTGTGTGTGTGGCTCCTCCGCAAAAAAACATGAGAAATTTGAGGAAAACACACAACCAAAAAACACTGTCGGTTTCAATTAATGCGTGTAGGCATTAAAATCATTTAAAATAATGAAGGAGAAAGGCGGTTGAAAGTTTAGAGATGGAATAAATTTTTACTGTCTTTAGGGAATTTCATTTAAATAGAAATAGAAATAGTTAATAAACAAGATTTTTCTTGATAAACATAAATTTATTTATAAATTATGGGGAAATAGAATAATAATAACATCTTCTAAATATTACAATAGTACAATTACAATTAATAAACAATACAACTCTATTCAATAAATAATAAATGAATATCAATAATTCAATAAATATAACAATTTTCTATGGATTTGTTATTCTATATACTTAAAAATTTCTATAAAGATATTAGATTTGAATGTAATTAACTATACACAAACGATAATCAATCATAGAGAAAATCTTTGAAAATATCATTCAAAATACAAAACTATATTTATAGATTGCTTGTGTCTGTAGATCAACAAAATCTAAATCGATTAAATCATTTAAAAATATAGAAAGAACAAAAAAAAGTATTCTAAAAATATATATAAGCTTAAGAAATACATGAACTATATATATTAGAAAAATATCCAAGGATATCTTTCGATACCTTCTCCATATTTGTGCATTTTTGCACATCTTTTAATGCCCAGAAATTTTAAGCAAATAAAATGAGCCTTTTCTATGGGAATCTTGTGCAGAAGGCCAGAAAACATATTGAAAGACATTTCAATTTAAATTACACAAAACAAAACACACACACACACATACTCGCACACACACACACACACATTTGCACACAAAAAGGACATTTGTCACTGGCAGCCGTAATGGCCGGCGGGCGTGGCGCCGCCTTTCTATCGTCTCGTCCCAGTGAAAGGTGTGCGCATGTCGTTTAAATAAATTATTTTCCTCAAGGAAGTGCAATTAAGAAAATGTTTCATAAATTTTCCTCCACGTTCTGCCTCTGCCTCTGCCTCTGCCTCTGCCCTGACCCTGACACTGGTCTCTTGGACTCTTGGACTCTTGGACTCTCGGACATGGCCCTAGTTTTCGGTGATGGCCTCTAGTTTTCTAACCCGACTGGAGCAATTAGGCAAAAGTGTGGCCAGGGCCAAGACCTGATGATGTGTCTCATTAGTCGAGAACTCTTTTATTCATGTCCTGGGACGAGGGATTCGAGGCGGAGCGAGGAGCTTCTAAAGTTATTGCCCACTTCGCAGGAGGCGGAAATAATTAATCGAACACATCCGTTGCACACCCTTTGAGCCCTCAGGCAAAGGCAGCAACTGGAGCAGAACTCGAGTGGTTCTAAAAATAAAGCCAAAGGAGAGCGTGTGTGTGTGTGTGTGTGTGTGTGGGGAAAATGGGAAAATGCTAAAATAAAAAAAAAGAAAGTTAAACAAGAAGTGTAACGCGGGTAGAGGGAAAATCGAGAGCGGCATATGTCACACTAATGATGTACAGATGCACGGCGATAAAATATAATAAATTTGATTTTTATTTATTGGTATTTTTAGGTCAAATGTTAAAGGGTTTTAAAAGTAGAAAATATGGAGTATATATTTGTAATAAATTATAGATTATTTTATTTTCAAGTATTTTAAATAATTTCAATATTTTTCTTCCTGCTTCTCCTTGAAGTTATCTACAAATCTATACAACTTTAGCTTGGCTTCTTCGCCATATAAAAAAAAGAACTAACTAAATAACCATTAGCGAGAGTAAAAACACGGGGGTGGTAATGAATGGATCTATATATATTTTCTTTTTGGGGGGAAGGAGAACCAAATTGTAATCAAATTTAATTGGTGCAAAAGAAACCAAGCTGGGAGGAGAAGGAAGCCCGAAACCCGAAACCAAACCCCAAAAGAAGGGCAGGAAATTTCCCATTGTTTGTTATTAAGGAAGGGAGGCCACCACTCGCAGGACACTCGAATGAAAAGCTTGTTAACTTAATAGAACCAACTGGGCCGAGGGGGAGCTCTTAATTTATTAATGATACTCACCATATTCCTTCAATTTTCTCCCCTCCCACGCCCCCAAAGGAGAGATCCCTATTTCCCGTTGAATTGGTTTACATGTCAACGAAATATTTGGTGTCCTGTTCCAGGAATTGGTATTGGAATCGGTAGCCATTCATATATACATATATTTATTTGCCTTTAGTTTTATATATAGCTGCCATATCGAATATGTCCCATTAGCATAATTTCGATCGATATACGCTTAATGGTTAATTGCTAGACAGGGTTTTTTTTCCTGTGAGAGATGATTTGAGCCACTCGATGATGGGTTTGGTGGGTGAGTTCCTGGTGATTGATGACGTGATTAAAGCTGTCAGAGAAATCTCAAAACAAAAAAAAGTGTGTACTATAAATACATTACAGGGAATCCGTGGACAAACTTGGAGTTCCGGGAAAATACTCTAGCTTCTCAGGGGAATGTTAAAATTTAATTCAGTTGAAATTGGATCCTAGTTAAGCTGAAGCTTCATTTAAATATTTATTAATAAAGCATATTGGTAAAAATAAATTACCACAAAAGGAATCCCTCTAAAGAACTCCACCAGCTTAAGCCAGATTTTCGGTTTCAGTCCTTCAATCATTTGGCTCGCTTTTTTATTTTTGCATGTCCTGATGGCCAACAGGCAGGACCAAGACCAAGAGCAGGACCTGCTGGCGCCGCATTCCCACTGCCAAATGGCCATAAATTGCCGGCCATAGTTATCGATAAACGATAGCCAGGACCTGCCTCCATTTTGCCCAAGCAAAATGCAAACGTGTTAACAACGGCCACTTTCTGTGTGTGTGCTGGTGTGTGGGGTAGTTTTTGATTTATACTCGTGTGCATATTAATATGGCGTTAAAATATGATGCCAAAATTTATGTGTGAAAAACAGGGCGGTGCAGCAGCTGAAGCCACCAACTACAGCACCACAGAAGACATTATTGCGATTCTCTTGGCCCGAATGGCAGCATGAGGACCAAATTTATGACCATCTCTCTCTGCTCTTGCTCTCTCTTTCTCTCTCTCTCAGTGTCTCTGTCTCTGTCTCTGTCGATTTATGGGCGCACATTTGGCCAAAGCCGAATCGGAAATCCAGCCAAGATGAACGCAAAGCAGCCGGCTATATGCTGTTTCATCGGAACAGGCATAATTCAGACCTTTAATTGCATTTTTTTTTGGCATAAGAAATATTCAATATATATATAAAAAATTATATTTATATATAAAATGCCAATAAAGACAAGAAGATGTTATTTAATATTTAAACTTTTCATTTTGGCATATACTGATAGGTATTTTCAATAAATATCTGCTGGTAATAAGTATCGAAATGATGAAACTGCATTTAATATATCGAAATAATCGATTAATTCATTTTTGGATTAAGAATAAATACTTTATGATATTTAAAATTAAAATGTTCATTTTGGAATATACTGATAGGTATTTCCAATAAATATATGCTGGTAATAGGTATCGAAATGATGAAACTGCATTTAATTTATCGAAATAATCGATTAATTCATTTTGGATTAAGAAGAAATCCTTAAAATTCAATAAAAGGGCAAAGCTTTCAATCCGTATACAAACCTAATTACTTTGCAATTAATTCTTATAATAAATATTAATAAATTTCTACAAAATCCTGTTACTGAAATATTTTCTAACCTTATTTTTCTGAATTTTTGTGATCCTTTTGCAGCAGTCAACTCGATGAAACCGAACATGGACAGTACCAATTGCATTTTAGTGCAGGACGTCAAGTCGCAACCTCACGACCTGCGCGGCGGCCTGGCCAAGGCGAATGAGAAGGGCGTGGCCACCGCTTATCCCACGGAGGAATCGATACAGACCAGCACCTCGGACCACAATCACAACCATCAAAATGGCCTGAATGCGGCGGTGGGCGGCGGAATTGGTGGCGTCGGTGGCAATGCGGGCATTCAGCAGCAACTCCTGTTGCAGCAACAGCAGCCGCATTCGATAAACCAACCGCTGACACCGCTGGATGCGACCAATACCCAGCTGCAGGATCATCAGCAACTCACCTATGGCGGCGGCATAGCCGGCTCGAATGGTGGCCTAAATGGCGGACTCGGCGGTCAGTTGCTGCAGCCGAACGGAGGACTCGGTGGCCACCATCACCATCAGGCACTGCAGCCGCAACTGGGCGGCGTCGTCGAACTGAAGGAGTTCAACGAGGCCTATCATGCCACCATACCCGCCTATCAGTTCTGGACTCTGGAATTCCGTAACAAACATCCGGCCTTCATTAGATTCAACTTCACCCTTCCCTGGGGCGCTCACTTTGCGGTCTATTCCCGCCGGAATGTTGCGCCCTCGGTGACGCAGCACGACTTTGTGGAGTTCATCAAGGGCGGACGTCTCGATAGCCATTTGCGACATCGTCGCAGCTCCAATGGATCCATCAATTCCATTTCCGCTGGCCAACAGGATGTGGAACTGTACCGGGAGGAGGAACGCGACAGAAGTCATCTGCTCGAGGAACACGATCGCGAAGATTCCGAGCTGGACGACAGCCACAGCTTCGAGTCGAGTGAGGCATACGATGTGGAGACACCGCTGGACACTGCCAAGCAGCATCTGCAGCGGATCGGGAAGCCGCAGGGTAGCCATTGGCTCAATAAGAGATCCGCCGGCGATTCCGGCCTCCCCGCTCTCGATGTGGACGCCATGACGGTGAATGTCTCTCTGCTGCAGTATCTGGACACCGGGCTATGGTTCATCTCGGTCTACAACGATGAGTTGGTGGCCCATTCGGTGTCCCTGCTGGCCGAGGAGGCCGAGGGTGTCAGCACCACCTGTCCAAATGATTGCTCCGGACGTGGCAGCTGTTACCTGGGCAAATGTGATTGCATCGATGGCTACCAGGGTGTGGATTGTTCAAAGAGTAAGTGCCTTCCATTTATCGAGCTTTTTTGGGTGTTTATTTGTTTATTATTTGAAAAGGTGGAAAAGGATTAATTGGGGATTGCATTGTAGTCTTATTTTGTATTATTGATTTAATATTGTTATGTTATTTTACTTTTATGTGAGTGTACATCCACGGTGAAGTAACTCCTTTGTCTTTAAGTATACCCTTTCAAGGGTATAATTATATCAGCCAGAAGCTTGAAACTAAGTGAAGGAGTCATTTGCGACCCTATAAATCATATATATTCTTAATCAGCATAAAAAGCCGAACCGATCTAGCCATATTTGAGAGTAAACAATTTTTAGAAATTTTTTTTGATAATTTTGTGAATATATTTCATATTGTTAAATGGTCAAAAATTGACAAATTTTAAATTTAGTAAAACATTAAATCTAAATATGCAGTTTTATTAACCCTATAAAAAGTAGAATTGAAATTGATGCATTTTTGGCTTAGTTATGAATTTTTAAACTTTGATTTTTTGAAAACAATTTCATATAAAATATCTATAAATATCGGTATTATAATTTCAGTCAGAAGCTTGTAGCTCTTGAAACAGTGATTTGCGACCCTATAAATCATATATATTCTTGAGCAGAATCAAAAGCCTAATCGATCTAGGCATGTTTTGTTGAATTTTATTTTTTCGAAATTATTTTCGAAATATTTGGACTAAATTTGTATATTGTTAAAGTTGTAAAATTTGACAAATTTTGAAATTCATTTAATTATAAAACTAAGTATGCAGATTTGTAAAACCTATAAAAACTAGCACAGAACACCTTTCCGAATAAAAATAAATTCAATTTTGACTTTGTTATGAATGTTTAAAACCTTTGATTTGGCGAAAATTTTTCATATTAAAATATCGATAAATATTGACTCAAAGAGTGGTTTATTATTTCAGTTAGAAGCTTATATCTCACGAAGGAGTCATTTCCGATCCTATAAATCATATATATTCTTGATCAGCACAAAAAGCCAAATCGATCTAGCCATGTTTGAGAGTAAAAAATTTTTACAAACTTTTTTTTGATAATATTGTGAATAAATTTCATATTGTTAAATGGTCAAAAATTGAGAAATTTTAAATTTAGTAAAACATTAAATATAAATGTGCAGTTTTATAAACCCTATGAAAAGTAGCACAGAACAGCTTTCCGAATTGAAATTGATGCATTTTTGGCTTAGTTATGAATTTTTAAACTTTGATTTTTTTGAAAACAATTTCATATAAAATACCTATAAATATAGGTATTATAATTTCAGTCAGAAGCTTGTAACTCTTGAAACAGTAATTTGCGACCCTATAAATCATATATATTCTTGATCAGAATCAAAAGCCTAATCGATCTAGGCATGTTTTGTTGAATTTTTTTTTCGAAATTATTTTCGAAATATTTGGACTAAATTTGTATATTGTTAAAGTTGTAAAATTTGAAAAATTTTGAAATCCTTTTAATTTTAAAACTAAGTATGCAGATTTGTAAAACCTATAAAAACTAGCACAGAACAGCTTTCCGAATGGAAATAAATTCATTTTTAACTTAGTTAGGAATGTTTAAAACCTTTGATGTGGCTAAAATTTTCATATTAAAATATCGATAAATATTGACTCAAAGAGTGGTTTATTATTTCAGTTAGAAGCTTATATCTCACGAAGGAGTCATTTCCAACCCTATAAATCATATATATTCTTGATCAGCATGAAAAGTCGAATCGATTTGGAAGAAAATTTTTTTTTTAATTTTTTCACATATTTTTATCTTGAAATTTGGCAAAAAAAAAAGTTGGCAAAAAATGTAATTTTTTATATATTTTTTGAGTATGCAGATTTGTTGCACTACTAAAAACTAGCATAGGAAAGCTTTCCGAATTAAAATTAATCAATTTTTGGCTGAGTTATGCGTTTTTTAAACTCTGATTTGTTGTATAACATTTTTCATTTAAAAAGTCAATAAATATAGAATTTAAGCTTATTTCGTTTGATTTCTGGTACGATTTCAAAGTGTTTTTAAACCTTGGTTTTCCAAAGTTAGTTATCGTTCTTATTTTATTTTATTTTCCCACTGACTGACCCCAAACTCACCGGGTTTTTCTTGTTAAGCATTTTCACTCATTTTTCACCATTTTCCTTCATTTTTTATTTTATTTTGCAGGCGTCTGTCCCGTTTTGTGCTCGGCCCATGGACACTATGGCGGCGGGGTGTGCCACTGCGAGGAGGGCTGGAAGGGCGCCGAGTGCGACATTCCAGTGGGCGAGTGCGAGGTTCCCAATTGTTCCAGCCATGGACGCTGCATCGAGGGCGAGTGCCACTGCGAGCGCGGCTGGAAAGGACCCTACTGCGATCAACGTAAGTGTCAAGGACTCTCTCTGTCTTTCTCTTTTCTTTTTAAGAAGTACACTAAGCTTTAGGAGGGCTATTCTATGGGATTTTAAATTAAAATGCAAGAGAAAGTTAATGGAAACTCGTCATGAGGAATTATTTTATAATTTGATTAGGAAATAGTTTTTATTTTATGTTTTATATATATTATAAAGCTTATGAATTTTCGCTTAGTGTGCTTTCTGTGTCTGCCTTCCGCTGACTTGGCATAAAAATGCTAAAATTATTTATTTGCCTTGTTTGCAATTTGGTGCCAGGCCTCGGTTCCGGGGTTCCCATGTTGACACTGCCCGATAAGGACACCGCCCCCTGGACAAGGACACGTGGTGGACGGTCCAAGTGGATGCCAAAATATTTCAGTTATTATGCCGACACCTCCACCACACTCTCTCCTCTCTCCGCTCATTTCTGGGGGTTCCAAAAAATATTCTGGCTCCTGAAAATTGACAAAGCGAAGGAAGCAGAGAAATTCCAACAATTTTTACCGACTCTTCGCACGGGTTTTCCCCGTAGATAGCTTTGAATTAGCCTAAAAGCAGGCAACGAAAGACGAGGGAGCATTTTAAAGAGGAAAAAGGCAGGACGAAAAGGACTGTAAAAAAAAACAAGGAATTGTTAAAGGGAATGTGCCAGAAACTAAGAGAATACGAATTGCATGTAGAAGATGCCCTTGGAAAAGTGTTTTTACAACTTTTCACTTTGATATAAATGCAAGAATTTTCTATTTATTTATTTAGCAAATTAATAAAACTCAGGGGTTGTAATTTATAGCAATTAAAAAGTACAAGTTGCAATGGTTTTTAAATTTAATTAATATATTTTCCCATGATTCGGTTGTATTTCTTTTTTGTAACTACAAAACCCATATACCCCGTTGTAAAAGTAACACAAAAAGTGGCACATAAAATATGCAATATGCAACAATACGTGGAATGTGTCTGTGTTTGCTGTTCTTCGTTGTTGTTGTTGTTGTTTTTTTTTTTGTTTTTTGCACATTTTTATGTACTTAAATATGGGAAGGAGCCACAGGACCCTTGGCATACAAACAAAAACAAACAGGGACAAACAACAAACAGAATCCGAAACAGAAACAGCAACAGAAGCCAGAAAATAAAAAGGAGAGAGAAAAATATAACAGAAGTAAAGGAAAAGCGTTGAGCAAACATAAAACGTATAAAATCGAATTTATATGTCGAGAGCATATTTCTCATACACGAAAAGTAAAATATCAGGCAGGCCACAGGAAAAAAGGGAAAAAAGGGAAAAACGGGAAAAAAGAAAAGCAAAAGTCGCAGCAAAAAAACAAAGCAAAGGGGCAGTGGAAAAATTGCAACAACTGCGCAAAATTACCAACTTGAACTAAACTGGAATTTCATTTTAATGACCACTTTCGTACGTGTCTAACATACTAATCATGTCATGTGTGTGTGTGTGTGTGGAAGTTGGCCAAAAGGAAAAACCAGGAGAGAGAGAGGGAGGAGCACCTAGCCAGGATAGCAAAAAGCTTTTTGTTTAGCCACGACTGTCACGATTTCATTGCCCCACCAAATATGGGATATGTATAAAGAGAAGAGAGTATATATGTTTCATTTCTTGGCTTGTTTTTTCAGGGAATAAAGTGGAAACTAACCCTATAAAATAAGAAAAATTACCTATAGAATAACTAAGTCTAAGGTACTACACCTTATAAATTAATTAATTAAAGCTTGATTTCGGTTAGGAAACATATATTTCTCATGGAGTTTGCTGCAAACTATTATATTTATTATATATTATAGAAGGAATAGACTTTTTTATAGGGTTTTCTAGTTAAAAATCATGGATATATTATTAAATCTGGGATAAACTTAATATAAAGCAGTACCTATAATATTTTTTAAACCAAAAACAATCCAATATTGACAAACCCTATAAATCATATATCTCCTAAAGCCATGTTAAGCAATTTCCACTGTTTAAACCCCTCTCTGCCCTATGAGCTTTGTTTTTTTTCATGTGTGTGTTGACTAACAATCGTTTTGTACTCTTTCTCTCACCCCAAAAAAACCAAAAAACCAAACCAAATGCTGACCTTTCACCCCCACCGCCTGCTCTGATGTTGATGTTGATGATGATGATGATGACTTTGATGATGGAATCAATACAGACGACTGCCTGGACCCACTCTGCTCAGGACACGGCACCTGTGTCGCTGGCCAATGCTATTGCAAGGCAGGCTGGCAGGGCGAGGATTGTGGAACCATTGACCAGCAGGTGTATCAATGTTTGCCCGGTTGCTCCGAGCATGGAACCTACGACCTGGAGACGGGACAATGTGTCTGCGAAAGGCACTGGACGGGACCAGATTGTTCTCAAGGTGAGTAGTAATAGTTCTCAAAACCATAAACCTTTCCCGAGATATTTTCAATGTTTTAACAAATGAAAACCTGACTAAAACCTGAAAACCTAAACTAACTATAAACTCTAAAGTAATTGTGTGTACTTTCTGCACTTGAAAGTCCTAATTTTGTAGCCTTAAATTGTACAATTACTGAGGCAAGGGGTCGTAAAGCATAGTAGCCATAAAATCAGGTATATATAACCGGGGCCAATCACTCTCGAGATCTGTCAGATATATATATATACAATATATTGCTGCTGCCTGGCTTCCTGCCATGGCTCCTGGCGAATATGATGATGTTTTATGGCCACAACTAAACCCGAAATTAGAATGGAATGCTGAGCCATAAAGCCGGGACTTCCAATTAGGCCCACAACCGGGGTTCATAATCATGGAGAGCAGAAGCCGAAGCTGGAGCTCAATAAAAACAAGCAGCTTTTGGATGCCACCGAAGGCCAAAGGACACGGGCACGGACACGGCACGGGCACGTCTCGCTGAGGCACGCACTTCTAATTTGCTTAACTTTTTAGCACCAGAAAGGAGGCAGAAGCCAGGTGGCAAGTGGGAGTGAGAGTTTAGGACTCTTAGGGGCGGGGTGCATACTATATAGGATATATATATGATATTGGGGTAGCCCAACATTGACGACTCCTTCCGGCGTAATGAAGCAGAGAGTCTCATAAAAATTCATTATTTATTTAATACGCCAGGTTTGGCACAGCAAAAGGAAAAGAATAAAAACACAAACACAAAAGCAAATAAAATAAATTTACGCCTGCGACCAAAAGTCGGAAAAACAACCCCCGGAAAAGCTCAGATTATGAACTAAACCATAAATTAAAGCAGCAATCCAAATCCAAAATTCCAGAGCAGAGATAAAAACTGAATAAAACATGCTTTGATTTTTTTGAAAAAAAAAGCAAACATAGATGAAATATATTATTAAGCTCTTGTAGAGAAAATCTCAATTTAAAAACCATAAAAAATAGAACAAGTCAAGCAAATCATGTGCCATGCTTCGATCCCTAAAGTAACCCAACATGAAGGGAAAACGCAGCCCGTGAACCAGAACAGTTGACCATTTCCAGCTGGGAAAATCCACGGGAAAACTTCCCCTTTCTCTCTCTCTCTTTCGGGCGGAGTGTGAGTCTTGTTAGCAAAGTGTGCCACCACGTAAATGTTACATTTATAATGCTGTTTTTATGGTTCCCTTTCCCCCAACTCAAAAGTTGCGATGAGAGACTGTGTCGCAGAAGCTTTAATGAATTTAAATGCGCACAAGTATGAAAATTCCAGCAGAAAAACCTCCTCTGTTTGAGGAGAAGAAAGTGTAATAAGCTTTAACTTTAATTGGTATGCGTTGTCAGGTATTAGGAGTTTCATAAATATTTTAAAATACAATTTAAGCAAGCTTTAAATTGAAATTAACGTTCTTTAATTCCTGTTTCTTCCATCGATTTCCCGTTCACAGCTGTCTGCAGTTTGGATTGCGGCCGGAATGGTGTTTGTGAGTCCGGAAAATGCCGATGCAATTCCGGATGGACCGGCAACCTGTGCGACCAGCTGCCCTGCGATTCCCGTTGCTCGGAACATGGCCAATGCAAGAATGGCACCTGCGTCTGCTCCCAAGGATGGAATGGCCGTCACTGCACGCTGCGTAAGTGTACACATTTTATGGTTTAGTTTATGGTTTTATGGAAACAGAGAAAAACTGGGAAAGGAAGCCATCTCTGGGAAGCTGAAATTTCTATACCCTTGCAAGGAAAATCCCTCCTAGATCAGTCAAAAATGCATCAAATTGCAATCGGAAAGATTTTATATGTTGGTTTTTATAAGGTTCATAAATCTGCATACCACCATTCTCTGAACCTATTATTATTATTAATAATTTAACATATATGAAAAATTTTCGCCAAAACTAAGTTTTTAACCATTCATAACTAAGTCAAAAATGCATTAATTTCCATTCGGAAAGCTGTTCTGTGCTAGTTTTTATAGGTTTTACAACTCTGCATACTTTGTTTTAAAATTAAAAGGATTTTAAAATTTGTCAAATTTTGCAACTTTAACAATATAAAATTTTGACATAAAATTTCGAACAAAAATTCAAAAAAATATTTTTTCACCAAACACAGCTAGATCGATTCGGCTGGTAATGCTGATCAAGAATATATATGGTTTATAGGGTCGCAAATTACTATTTCAAGCGTTACAAGCTTTTGACTAAAATTATAATACCGATATTTATAGATATTTTTGTATGACATTTTTCAAAAAAAATCAAAGTTTAAAAAATTCATAACTAAGCCAAAAATTCACGAATTTTAATTCGGAAAGCTGTTCTGTGCTAGTTTTTAAAGGGGTAAAAAATCTGCATATTTAGATATAAAGTTTTACAAAATTTAAAATTTCTCAATTTTTGACCATTTAACAATATCAAATTTAAGCACAAAATTAAAAAAAAAAAATTCTAAAAATTTTTTTCTTCCAAACATGGCTAAATCGATTCGGCTTTTTGTGCTGATCAAGAATATATATGATTTATAGGGTCGCAAATGACTTCTTCACTTAGTTTCAAGCTTCTGATTGAGATTATAATAACCTTCAGGGGTATAAAAATGTATAATTAATTTAACTAAGAGCAAGATAAACAAGTAATTAAACTAATTTCGGCACGCCGAAGTTTGTATACCTTTGCAGATTGAAATTCGATCACTAGGAATAAATACAATATAATTTATATATATTTATTATAAAAAAAAAACAAACTAATGGCTGCTTCCATTTCATTCACTCTATTTTTCTTTATTTTAACGATCGTTTGTATGGCAGCTATATGATAAAGTAGTCCGATTTTCATAAAATTTTACACGAAATTCTAGTTAAATATAATCAAGCTCTATATTAAAATTGGTTAAAATCTGTTGAAAACTAGAAAAGTTATAATTTGTTTCCTTAAAATGTTCCGATCGTTCCTATGGCAGATATATATATGTATATATATAGTCCACCGATTCGCCATGCTCCGATTTATATACTAGTATAATTATATATAAGAATAACTCCATAGTTTCATTGAAATACCTTAAATTTGTTCCAAAACAAATCTCTCACATCTGTACTTATGATTCCCAACTTGTTCTAACATCCCCGGAACGAAGTGCCTGCTGCCGGCCACGTCTCAGGAATGTGTTGTGTTACAAAAGTTGCAAGTCATTGTTTATTAGTGTTCAAAGTAATTGACCATACATACATACATACTGGTCATAGATACTTAATGCTCAGAGCTAGTTACTGATCATAGTTAACTACTGGTCATAGTTAATCACTGATCATAGTTCTATAAATCGTCCGATTGTTCCTATGGCAGCTATATACATATATGTGCATATATAGTCCACCGATTCGCCGTGCTCCGACTTATATACTAGTAAAATTATATAGAAGATTAACTCCATAGTTTCATTCAAATAGATTAAATTTATTCCAAAACAAATCTCTCACATCTGTACTTATGATTCCTAACTTGTTCTAACATCCCCGGAACGAAGTGCCTGCTGCCGGCCACGTCTCAGAAATGTGTTGTGTTACAAAAGTTGCAAGTCATTGTTTACTAGTGTTCAAAGTTAGTAACTAATCAAACATACTTACTTACTGGTCATAGATACTTTCGAATAATAGTTACATACTGATTGTAGGTACTTAATGTTCAGAGTTACTTACTGGTTATAGATTTTTTATGATCTTAAAATAATATATTAAGAATTAGTTCAGCCTTAAAAGAGTTTTACAATGAGTTTGTTGGGTTTCGTTGAAAATGCTTCTTAAGAACTTAAAAAGGAAACAAATCTAATATTCCCAAAATTTAATTTTGAATTAAATGAAACCTATATAAAATTAAGTTTCCCAGTAACAACAACCGGTGGTTGTATTTGCTGAACTTGTAGATTTTCCAAACATATTTATTTCCCGGGCTTGTGGCCAAAAAATAAAAAAAGGAAAAAAAAATCGATGGAAAATAACATTGCGGTGCTGCAGTTGCCACGCCCCCGCCTCGCCTGTCAATGTTGCTGCTGCCGCTGTCGTTGGTTGATTTTAAGTTTTTATTTTTTACTGTCGTGCTTTTTATCAATTTCTGTTTTTTTTTCTCTGCATATATTTTTGGATCTTTGTTTTTCTTTTTTTTACTCTTTTTTCTGACATTCGGGAGTCGATGCAGCAAAGTATTTTGTACATGTTTACGCCATTTGCTCTCCACTTGGGTTTACACCCAAACCACGGCCCCCTTTTGCTTTTCGGGGACTTCCCCTTGCCAGAGTATTTTCCTTCTCGATTTTTTTCCTTTATTTTTTCTCCTTTTTCCTTTTTTTGTTGGGTGAAAGTGCGTTTGACAGTTTTGCCGCCATGACTTAACCATGTTGTTTGAGGCAACCCCAAAAAAAGAGAAGAACAACAAAGGATACGAGTTTCGCCAGGATACAGGGCAGGCACTGCAGCATGATAAGTAGCTATCGATTGACAGTGATTAAAACTTTAAAAACAAACAGTCATGTTGCAAAAACATCCAAGCGAGGCAAAAAGGCATCCAAGGAAGAGCCTGGAAGCCTGGAAGCCTGGAAGCACCACCCCCCTGGCGGCGGCTCAGGCATGCATGTAATGGCATTACGATACCCCCTTTTGCTGCCGGCGCCCCTGTTTTGCCATCCTGCTCCTGCTCCTGCTACTGCTCCTGCTCCTGCTCCTGCTCCTGCTCCTGCTCCTGCTCCTGCTCCTGCTCCTGCTCCTGCTCCTGCTCCTGCTCCTGCTCCTGCTCCTGCTCCTGCTCCTGCTCCTGCAGGCTACCCTCCTTTTGCGATCAACATTTCGTTGACGTGTGCAAAACCAATAAAACTTCCGACGTCATTCAGAGTCACAAGCAATCTTAGTAGACCTCTCTCTCTACAGGATACACCTCCTGTTTCTGCCTCCTGTGTGTGTGTTGTGTGTTGTGTGTGTCTGCCGCCCCCCTGGGACACTCTCTCAATCGATTCAAGTGGCGCAGGGGCGTGGCTTAAGAGGGGGGCAGGTAACAAGACTATATATGGTATGCCATTGGAGGTATCAGAATCGGTATCTGTCTGCGCTTTGCTGTTGTATTTTTAGAATGTCGCTACTTAACGACTTTGGTTCAGTGTTGTTGCCAACAAAAAAAGAAAAAGGAAAGAAAAATGAAGTTAAAGTGTGAAAGGTCAGGGAGAAATAGTTTAAATATGTGATGATATAAATGTATAAAAAATATGTAAAATCATTCCTAATTATCTTTCCTCTACTTCATCTCCAACTACACTCTTTCTAATATTTCTTAAATTTTAATTTTCAAACCTTAAAATACAAGCCAGGGATTACTCTGGCATCGCTTTGGTTCTATTTGCTGGGTCTTCACATGGTCGTGGCGCATCCCTGCACAGATTAGTCCTTTCAATCGAAATGCAGTCGAGTTGCCGCACAACTTCAATGCGGCAGAAGTTGATTGAATTCGAAACAGAGATTTCTAGCGAATTACGCGCCACCGAAAACTCCACTCAATTGGCTCTTTTCAAAAGGGTGGATGAGGGGCTTTTCCTAGGGTGCTTCACGGTGTGAGTTTTCCGGGGGGAGGCGGGCACAAACAGACACTCGTAAGCCCCCATGCATAGTTGATGTCGTAGTTACATTTAGTTGCCGGATTGCCCTTCCTTTATTTTTCTATTCCCGCCGCCGTCGTCGTCGTCGTCTCATTCAAATATTTACAATGTTTTCCCCCCCATATTTTCCCATTTTTTTTGTATATTTTTCTTTTTTTTATGCTTTGCTGGGATTTTATTATGGATTGTAAAATATGTGCAGAAGTGTGTGTGTTTTTCGGGGAGATTACAACATTTTTTCAATGGCCAGGCATAAAAAGCGAGGGATTTGTCCGCCGAAAGTGATAAAATAGAGGAGAAATAAGCTTCGGGTGGAAAAGCCAAAATAAAAATAATAAAAATATATCAACAAAAAAAAAAGGGAGGTGAAAAACCCCGCAGAGCGGCTACTGTGGCTTAAATAAAAGTATAAAAAACAAACCCCACAAACTTGAACTTAACACAAAAAAATAGGAAATACCTAATGGGAATATGAATGGAAAATGCGAGGTTAAAAATGTAGTCATATATATATAGTTTTATATATAAATGGATAGGTTCGGATTACGAAAACAATAAACATGCGGTTAGTGGCCTTTTTTTGTACCCTTGATCCTTAATACTATATATATATATGTGGAAATGGAAATGGCTTCAATTTGATTTCCTTTTTTGGAGTGAAAAACATGTGGCTATTTGGGTTTAAGAGCTTGTATTTCATATTTATTTTAATGGAACCACATATTATAGTGGTGATTAAAATAAATGTATATAAATATATATACTGTTTGAGTTGAGATCTTAATTCTCAAGGCTTTATATTTAATTGGTGCCTTTTTTTAGATTCAAACACTTGAGTAATTCAGAAAAGTCCCTGACTTTATTAACTCCCTTGCCAATTTGGATTCCTTGCAATTTGAGTTTGTGCAATTTCGTTTTAAAATCCAGTTTGTAACCCGTAAACTTGGTCATTTCGCTTTCGCCTTTTATAGTTCGAGGTCTAAATGCCAGTCCACACAGATTTGACAGATTCTCTCCCTCCCTTTCGATATATAGTATTTGGCAACAACAACACTTGAAGTTATTGCCAATATGTGCACACAAACACGCACTCAAAAAAAAAAAAGGAGGGCAGGACTCGAGAGGCAGAGAGAGGACCTCGTAAACAGGAAGGCAGTAACAACCGAGGAAGTCATTTTATGCGCCGCAAACTTTTTAACATGCCGGAAGCTGAGTTAGCAGCATTCCCTTCCCCAACCCCTTAACCTCTTCTACCCCGGGAAATGGAGTGCCAAGGGGGTCGGAAAAGCGGGCTGGAAAATGGGGCTGTGCCGCTTACCTTACCCCATTTTGCAAATGACACATGTCAAGTGACATTAACTTTGCGTCAAATGCTGTCGTGGCACAAACAAATAAAGCCAGAATGATGGTAACAAAAAAAAAAGGGGAAAATAAGGACAACTTCAAGAGAGGAATTTTAGATACTCTTTAGAAATAATCAGGATTTAGATGAAAGATTACCGAAGATCAAGCACTTAGAAGGTGCTCTTAATATAAAATTCCATTACCAAAAGAAAGTCATTGCAAAGATTTATACCTCTCTTCTTTAATTATTTTCTAAATACTCTCCCTATAGTATTTAGACCCCTTGTAAGAGTATCTCGACAAAAAAAAGAGTAAAAATGAGGGCAAATCATCTATCGTTAGGTTACGTTCCGTTGGGTTTTTATGTTTGCCCAACATTTTCAACATCGGGGCCAAAGGTTAACTGCCACTGAGAGTGAGAGCAAACATCAACATTATTTTTATATTCATGATGTTGACTCTCCTTCGAGAGTCGATTCGGTTCGAGGGGGTCGGGCCTTTGGTTTTTCAAATGGAAATACCCGTGTTATCATTCAATTTGAAGCCACTCGATCCGAACAGTTTGCTCTTAATTACAGTGAACCATTTTGCAGAAATCTCAGTGCGTTAAATAAAATTACAACGCACAAAGGCATTTTATTCTTCTTTTTTATTTGTTTCTGAGAGAGTGTGAGAGAATGTGCCCTTCAGCATTTAATAAAAACAAAACTTGTAATTTGCAAAAGGCCACACACTTGTCAATTTAAATACATATAGTCATATATATATAGATGTACATACAATCATTAATAGCCATTAAAATGCCGTTTTTGCATTATTTATTTGGCGGACAACAATTATGGGAATTAAAACCACTTATGTTACCTACTTTATGGGGCTTTTGGAAAACATTCCTATACTATATATATACAATATATTAATATGTGAAAATATATTCCCTATAGCTGGATGCGAAAATGGTTGCTCTCGACACGGTCAGTGTACCCTGGAAAATGGTGAATACCGTTGCGATTGTATCGAAGGATGGGCTGGTAGCGATTGTTCAATTGCCTTGGAACTGAACTGCAAGGATAATATCGATAATGATGGTGGTAAGTTGGATAAAAGATCATATTTAAGAACATTATATTCCCCAAGGAATACAATATAATAATATAATATATATGATAATATATATCTTATTAATTCTCTTCCTGCAGATGGCATGACCGATTGTTCAGATAGCGAATGCTGCTCTCATCCTGCCTGCTCGGAGCACATTATGTGCCTATCCTCCAATGATCCTGTGGAGGTCCTGCTCAGGAAGCAGCCTCCCTCGGTGACCGCCTCCTTTTACCAGAGAGTCAAGTTCTTGATCGAGGAGAACTCGGTGCAGTCGTATGCCCACATGGACGAGTACAGCGAAAAGTAAGTGATGCGCCATAGGCTTAAGATCTATCACTTAGAATATATACCCTATATATAGCCTTTATATATATATATATACATATACGTATGCGTCTGACTCTTAGTGCGCAGGGATCTGAACCATGACCATTGACCATATTATATATAAATCTCTATATATACGAGAGGGACTCTTGAGTTAACTTTATCTTCAATCTTTTGAGTTCTTGAGTTTTTGAGTTGCAAACACGGATCGTCCTTATATATATAGTAACATAGTATATATATGCAGAGGGTTGTACATACGATCCGGTTTGCGATTGAGAAAATTTTATTCATTGGAATTGCGTTTGAACTTTTTCCGTTTTCGGTTCTGTGTGTGTTTTCTTTAAGCTTTACGGGTGCAATGAAGGGAAAAAGCTCAAATTTATTCTGTATGAAGCGCATATATGTATATATAACCAGATAGCCCCTCATTTATCCAACTATATATACATATATGGCAATTTTAAGTTATGCTTTTACAAACTACAAAAAAGAAAGAAAGAAAATCTGTTTATTTTAAAACCAAACTTCAACTTAACACACTTCCAACTAGTCTCAATCAATCAAAAATCAGTCGACAAAAAAAGAAGCAAAAAAAAGTCAAGAAGAAGCCAAAGAAATGAAAATCTAAACCCATTCACATTCCCACAATCCCGAACGCCTCTCTCCCCTCAATGAGTCTATCATTTATGCGCTTGAAAAAAAAATATTACAAAAAAATAAGAACTAAACATTATATTGAGATGAGAATGAAGGAATCTCAAGACAAAATGTTGAATTTTCAAAGTTTTCTTTTCTCTTGTTCCTCTGAGTTCTCTCCCAACCGTTTCCGTTCCGTTTTCCGTTCCGTTTCCGTTTCCACTTCGTTTTGTTCCGATTCGATCTGTTTGTTTTGATCCTCTGATTTTTCCCAACACAAAAAAAAGAAAGAAAGAAAAGAGGAAAACGACATTTTCCTAGTTTGAGCTTTTTCTTTTCTTGCCTGACATGGGAAATGCAAAGCCAAGAAGATAAGTGAAGAAAAGAAAAAATATGCCCGGAAATAAGAAAAGAAACTCACAAAAAGCTATATACTTTTCCGTGGTTTTCCAAAAACAAAATTACTTATTCTCTCTCTCTATTCTTCAGTTGATTCCCTTGAGTTTTTCGAATTTTTCGGGATTTACTTTTCATTTCCGTTCCTTTCTGCCGCCTCATTTCTCTCATTCTCTCGAACTCTCTACATGGAGCAAGAAAAAATCTGAAATATTTGACGAGAAAAAGCGAATATATAATGATAGCACTTCATTGAGTATGTGTGTTGTCTAGTGTAAACCTCCTTGTGTTCGTCTAACCCCAAAAAAATAAAACTGTACTAAATATATAAAAAGAAAATAAAAAACCAAAAACAAATGATATAGAAACGAGATAATATCTACAAAAGAAAGTAAGGCCTCGATGTATAAGTAAGTGGCCAGATCGATCTATATAAGTGTTACGACTAAGAACCAGACCTAGCTACATTATCGATAGTTTACTTTACCTTTGATTTGCTTTCGTTTCGTTTCCTTAAGCTTCAGATTTTACCAACCGCAGTCTAGTCTGTCATTGTATTCTATATATATATATAACTTGATATAGCGTGTCTATTCAGTTGTTGTTATGATTTCCGATTCTGATTTGTAAAGACCCCCCTAAACCCCTTTTTAATTATGAACTACGCCGATGTCAAGACCAAGAAGAGAGGATTTCCCCAAAAAAAAAGAAACTTAAAACTGAGGAAGACCGATGAGCGATATTGATTTTGAGTTACAATTTCCGTTTCGAATTTCCCCGTTCCCCCTATGGTTTCCTCTTCATTTCGTTTCGTTGCCGTTGCCGTTCTGTTTCGTTTCCGTTTCCGTTTCCGTTAGCGCCTGAGTTGAGCATTTTAACCAACTAACCATACTAAAAACCAACCAAGATGATATGTCAACTAACCCGAAGATGCCCGCCGATCTCCGCCTTCGCCTTCGTCTCTGTCTTCGTCTGCGTCTCATCCACCGACTAAGTGTGTTCGTCAAATGTGTTCTTTTCCGTTCGTTTCTCAGCGTGTTTCGTTTCCGTTTCCGTTACCAGTTTTCGTTTCGTTCCATTTCGTTTCTCTTCTTTGGTTCACTAAGCTATGAAAGTACAAATCTCCACCTTAGGTATGCTAAAAGTTAAAAAAAAAAAACGAAAAAAAAACAAATATTACCAATTGTTAAGCAATATCAAAGTTTGATCAATTCGTTAACGAAACGCATTTTTGTCTTTTGATTTCTTTTTTATTGTCCTGTCAATTAATTGTGTACTGTCCTACTCTGTTGCTGTGGCTCGATACCTTCATGTTGTGTGCTAAACAAAAATAAAAAACCAAACCAAAATCAAAAATCCAAATCAAATTTCAACACCAAATCAATGTGCATTTCCTACATGCAAAAATCTAAATCTAAAAAAAATATATATATCAAAACAAAAAAAAAATCCTACGTTTCAACCCGTGAATTTGTAGTCTCTTCTGGAGCTCGTTCACACCTTGGTAAGTCGAAAAAAAAACAAAACACTAAAAAAAAAGGAAACACAGACGTACAATGTTTTTTTTTTTTTGAAAAAGAAAAAAGCAAAAAAGAATCTAAGAAATCTATGTTACAGTCGCATCTTCTTCAGTTGATTCTGAATTTTATGTTTCCCTCATCCAATCGATCCATCGATCCATTATCCATCCACACGAATGCATCGAGTTTTGTTTGTTTTCGCCTTTGGTTTTCATTCCGTAAAAAATGCATCCCCAAAAATAAATCACAAACACACAGAGACACACTCAAGACCTTTTTTGGTTGCATCTCTTTCCTGATCAAAGCTGAAAAAATATACAAAAATTGCCTTTTTTAAGTATTATTATTATTATTTCAAAAGGCGCTCTCCTAAAATATTTAAAACTTTCTTCAATGAAAACTATTCAAAGGACTACAATTCCTTGACTTAAAGTCTACCTTGCTGCCTTTAATATCTCGCGGCTGTAATTGCATTATAATTGTATTCCTAACAAAAAGAGAAAAATAGTACCCAACATCATGCTGCACCTGCCACCATTTTTGTTGATTTTAAATTACATTTCAACACACACAACATACACTCGCACACAAAAAACCGGGAACCGCAAAAATACAGAAAAACTGAGATCGAAAAGTCAACAAATCATTCATGTAAATAAAACACGACAACAAGAGTAAAGAAAACAAGACCAAAAAACAAAAAACCATAAAACATAAAGCATAAAAAACTGTAACAACGACGGAAAATGCATTCATAATTTTTATATCTCACCAACACAAGCACGCTTTCACACACACTATCACACACACACAGCCAGACTCTAAAAAAAGAATTCAAAAAATATGTGCATATCATGAGTATGTTTTTCTCATATATCTTTACATATATATCTATATATTTATTTTCACATTTAATTTCCATCGTTGTTTTCCGTTGGCATACTTTGTAGGGCAAGATGAGAGAATTGAGAATAATCGAATCTCTCGATATATAATATATATATACCATATATATGAATAATTGTATGTGTTATGTGTACCGTGTCTATATGTGTATTATGTTCGATTTCTGTTTGTGTTTTTCCTTTTTGCCAATCAACCAACCAGCCAATCAACCAATCAAGCGATATATTAACATTCATACTAACCCATTCATACGATTTATGATTTTTATCGATTCTTATCGATTGTTTTTCATCGTTTTTTGGCATGCGAGCTTCGACTTGTACTCATTCCTGTTTCGGTTTCCCCCCAAAGGTTTTTCACCTTCACACCTTTTCTCTCACTCTCTCTCTCTCTCTCAATCTGTCTCTCTCACCAACAATCACCACAAGTTATGGTCCCCCGATCGCCATTATATATATAAATGATATATATTTTTGATTTACATTCTCCATCTCCCCCGTCATCATCTCTCTCTCTGTCTCTCGAATCTCTCTGTGATTTACGTTTCCTTTTCGTTTTCGTTTGATTTTTGATCAAAGCTTTTTATGGTAAAAACAAATCTCATCAAAAAGAAATATATATATGAATCACTTTATCATTTTTCGTATCGATTAATCTCTGTTGATGTTTTGTTAACCAAACGAAAAAAAAAATGAATTAATTAAGTATACAACAAACTACTTGTTCGATCTACCAGTTAGGAAACCAAATAAATATTCAAAACCAGGTCAAAAAGCAGCAAAGAAAAAAGAGAAAGAAAAAAAACAATCAAAGCTAATAAAAAATGCAAGTAAAACTAAAGAAACAAATATCTGTATATCCTTATATGTTATCACTCGAAAAATAACAAAAAAAAAAGAAAAAGAAAAAAAACATCCCTACAAAACCCCAAACGTATCCCTAAATGTCCCAATTGTCTGCGTCTAAGCCATTTGTTTATATGTTTTCCAAATACAACAAAACTCACCCACACACACCCACTCACACACACAGACATACATCCATCCATCCGCTCCAAAAAAAAAAGAATTAAAAAATTAAGAAGTAAATCAAAGTTAAAAACAAAAAAACAAAATACAAAAGAAGGAAGAACAGAAAATTCTTTTTCAAACAATTTTTAATGCAAATTATTCCATCAGGTTTTTGCGTTTCTCGTTTTAATTTTCTTTAAAATTCTATTATTTATATTTTATTTGTTGTTCCAGTATGTATATATAAACCAAATATATATGCATATAAATTTCTATTTTTTAAATTTTATCTATGCAATAATGTGATATTTTTCACGACTTAAAAAATATGAACTAAACCTCGGCACCTGCCGAGGTCCAGAATGCCCTTGCAGAAGTCCGTTTGTTTATAACTATTTGGGGAAATTACTTAAATATATAGTTATTAAAATTATACAATTTACACAATTATAGATCTTTAAAACTCTACTTATTTAGCAAGGAATTTAATTTATAAAAAAGAGATGCAAAAAAAGTGTCACCATACATCTACATAAATTGTGGAAATTGTGGAAAATTAATAGAAAAAAATAGGTATTGGCCAGACAAAATGAATTTATATCAGTTACAAAAAAAAATAATAAAAACCATTAAGTTAATGAACAGGTTTCACTGGTTGAGTTATCTGAGCCGACTTTTGAGCCTGGCCCAAATGAACCCTGGCATTAACTGATTTTTACTGAATTAATTAAGTGATTTATCAAACAACTGATTTTATTACACTATATATTTTGTGTGTAAAAAATTGGTCTATGGAATGGGATATGTTTATTTAAAGTTGATATAGATTTGGGGATATATAAGTTACAATTCTCTTGAAAGCAAAAGAAATATCAAGTTGACAAATACTAGAAAACTTGATAGAATTAATTTCTTGATATATTTATTCCAAATACGAATTAAATATCATATCATTTAAATAATTCTGTTTAACCATCTTAATTGGGAAATGAAAGAAAAAGAGTCATATTTACATTTCCCTGTATAATACTGTATTTTTCAACAAAGATCCATAGAATATAATACCAGAAAATGATAAATCCCAAGAAACTCAACCCCTAATTAGCCCAAGTATATCTCAGAAATATACATATTATAAGTGGAAAATAATGACACTTTTTGTGTTTGTGTGGAAATAACCTGCTGCTGCTGCTGATGATGATGCCATGGAAACTGGGTGACTTTGTTGTCCTGTTGGGCTGAGATTGCTGTTTTTCTTGCCGCTTTTCGCTCCGATAAAGCGAAATCCAAGTAAATGCGATACGGGCGTGTCATGGGTTTTCTTATTATATATATATAAATATATAAAAAGCAAGGAGGGAAAGGCTGGGAAAATGTGCAGGAAAACAGAAGGGTTTGAGGTGGTTTTTGGGTTGCAAGGCTGCCGCCGTCGCCGTTGTCTCCCTGTTTTTTTTTTTTTTTTTGTGTGTCCTCTTTTTTGCCTTTTGTAGCGCTCAAGTGGCATCGTTGAAAAAGGGGGATGGAGGATGGGAACAAAGGTCCATTGTGAAAAGTTTTCGCTACTTGCAGCGGCAAATGCAAAAACTGTTAACAATAGAAATAATACACGACGAGGAGGGAGGGAGGGAAGAAAACCCCAGTGATGGGGGAGTTCCCAGTATTACGAAGGACCAAGGACGAAGGACGAAGGACGAGGGACTAGGGACTACGGACGAAACAGGAAGCAGGCATAACCAGAACGGAGACTTGGCCGGAGTCAAAAGTTGAGCAGCAGCAGCGGCAGCAACAACGTTGGCTAAAAATTAAACAATAAACAATGGCGGGGAGCGACTATAGATTACTTCCTGTTTTGGCTGAGCAAAAAAGAAAAGAAAATACAAGTAAAAAATGGCTATACAAAAAATAAAGGGGCGGTAGGAGAGACAGAGAGGGTTAAGTGTGGCGTGTGGGGCTGACAGGGATGGCAGCCAGGCTGCAGCCTGTTTAGGTGTGGCTAGTTTGCCCGCTTAAGTGGTTTTTCCCTCCCCCGCGCCCTGGATTTTCCCCCTCTCTGCGCATTTTCCCCTGCACATTTGTGTATGCAAATCAAGTTGTCTGCTAAACTGATTAGTGTCAACTTGCTTGGCAGTCATCAAGTGGCTACTGGAGAATGTCGCGCTCGGTTTTGCCATCTTTCCGTTTGGGGTTTTAGGGTTGTCACGGACATCCTTCCTTCCCCCACTCAGGCTTAAACTTTCCCCTCAATCTTCCTGCTAAGCTGGTCTTTTTTTTGTGCTGCGGTTTCAGCGCTTAACTGTGAAGTGTCTTAAGCGCTTGATCCTTGATCTTTGGAATGCAGCCAGGACGAGGAGAAAAGCCAGTCAACAGAGAATATAAAGGGGAAAAAGATGCATCATGTCTTTTCTTGGGGGATCTTTTTAGAGCTTTTTTTGTAAAGAATATAAGGAATATAAAGTTTCCTTTCTGCAACTGCCAGGATATATTTTGATTATATTCCCATTTATTTGCCTTTGTTTCCCAGGCAGATATAAAGTAAATAAATTAAAAAGTCACCTTTAGGAATATTTCCGCAGGCATTGCTTTATCAACAAGCAGTAGGGCTTTTTCGACATGGCTTTTTCTCCCGCTCTTCTCTTATCGCCAAAGGGAAAATGCAGAAAAACAAAAGGGGAAAAAGAGAGAAATTTACTGCATACAAGTTGCACATAAAGCAAAATTAATACCTCTAGTTTCGAGAACGAAGTGATAGTGGAAAGCGTGAAAATTCAAGTGCAATGAAATAGAATAGAAATAGTGAAGAAAAAATTAAACCAGGAGTGAGGAAAAGAGTGAGAATAAATTACTAATAGAAATATTAATAACAGGGAATTGTTAAATGTTATTTTAAAATCATGTAATGATTTTTATACCCTTTCAGGGTATTTTACTTATAGTCTGAAGCTTAAAACAAAGTGAAGGAGTCATTTGCGACCCCATAAATCATATATATTCTTGATCAGCATAAACAGCCGAGTCGATCTAGCCATATTTGGTAGAAAAATTAAAAAATTTTTTTTTTTCAAAATTTT